GGGGGGGGGGGGGGGGGGGGGGGGGGGGGGGGGGGGGGGGGGGGGGGGGGGGGGTGGGGGTGGTGTCGAAATACAGTGCGGGGCCCTCCATAGTGCGGGTGCCCGCTATAGTGTGGGTGAAATCGCTTGGCACATATGGAACATTCAAGACGGTTAGGTTAATATATTGAATAGGGCGGGTGCCCGCTGTAGTGCGGGCGAACCCGCGTGGCACATACCCGCACTATAGAGGGCCCTTCACTCTTTCTCACTTTTGTCTCGGCGACGACGTTGGCGCTTCTCGGCTCCCTCGTGAGCAACGCCCTCTCCCCGAAGAACGAGTACTCCTCCATGCGCCGCAAACGCTTCTGCTCCCGGCCGGACTTGCCCCCGTTCTGCGTCACCAAGGCGCGCCCCTCCTTCAAAATGAAAAACGTATCGCCCACTTCCCCCTGCGGAAAAACGGAGTAGGCAGGTTTGCGGACGGCGCCCCCCAATGTCGCGTCATTTGAAGTGAAACGCACGCTCGGTTGGCTGTACTTACGAAGAGTTCTCTTTTCCTTCTGGCGCTTGTGCCATCATCCTTTCACATGGCTTCCGAGTACTTGCCACTTTTTCGGCGATTCTGAACCAGGGTTGTTTTGTATCGATGGAGGACCCTCTACGCTAGAATCACCGACAGCTGCTGTAGAACAACGGGCTGCGCACAAAGCAAGAGACTCACCGCACGGCACCCCCCGATATTATAGCAGCAACATGACCCACGGAAACCTTCAAGTTTCGTGGGGGTGGGGGTGGTTTGGAAGCAATACAGAGCACATCCTTCCGACCAAGGTTTTACGGTTGATCGTTGTCGTGTTTCTTCCAGAACAATCTCAATGCAAAGAGCAACTCTTACTGTCATGCTGTCTCCTATTAACACTAATGCGACAACACAGCAACGAACACGGCCACACACCTGAGTGATGATTGTTTGGCCTGCCTCGTAGACCACCTCCGTCAACACGTCGCAGAGCTGGTGCACCTGCAGTAGCGTCAACGTTTGCAACACGCCCACCTGCCGCAGCGTGTGTGCCACCTGGCAACAACAACAGCAGCAGCAGCAGTAGCAGCACCGGCACCGGCAAGAGCAAAAACATGAGAACATGACAAAACGAAAAACGACCTCGCATACAGTAAAGGCTAAGATAAGAGGGTGCAACAACATCAAAAAGAAAACTAAGCATCTAGCACGAAGCCGTGGCTTTTGGACCGAAACGATTTTGGATCAAACACGACAACTTGACACGGCAACGCCGAGTGTATGTCTGCACCGCAAAGGGAAAGCACAGCAGCACCAACCCCAGCGACACAAAAAGCCCAAACATGACACGAGTCACAAAACGAACGAGCCCGGGGATGGATGATTCTACGGACCGTCTTCGCGAGAGATGAAGTTTATCGAGGAAATAGAACAGGGAGGGGTACGCAGACCCTATTCCCTAATCCTTACCCTAACCTAACTTCCCGCTTGCAGGCGTTATCCAACACAGAAACCCTGTCAAGGCTACCGGATTCTACTCACATCCCGCCTCGACTTCTTGAGCAAAACGTGCTGGAAAACGGGCCTGTCCAGCTCCCACAACGAGCCGTTTGTCTTCGCAAACACGCTTGCAGACCTTGGCTTGCTGTACATGAGGGCCAGGTGCCCGAAGCACGGTTTGATTGTGTCCGTCGGCTCGTACACGTGTACCGTTTGGCCTGGAGAGTACACATTCAAGTGTAGACGATCACATAAAAAATACGCAAGCACGTATTAGCACGGGAAACAATCGTTGAGACGATGGCAGGGAGCCAGCCGCCTGCTGAGTATGTTTCCACAGAAACAGCGGAATGAACGAAGAGCCACGCACTTCAAACGCGACACTCGAGAAGAAGTACAGCAGTATCGCAGCAAAAAAAAAACAAAGGCATCGCAAGAGCACTGCACGGGGTCACCATAAACTAGACTCACCCGCATCCTTCTCATCCGTGATGACCCCGGTAGTGGCGGGGTTAGGGTTAACCTTGACCTCGAAAGTCCCCTTGTCGATGATGAAGAAGCAGTCGCCCTTGTCACCCTGCCGGATGACCCACTCCCCCGCCTTTACCTTCCGCTTCCGCATCGCGTCCACCAGCACCTGTTGGCATCCGGACAGAACGAAAAGGACAGAGGGGATGGATGATTCGCTCAAAGCTTCAATGCGCATGCAACAGGATTGGCGGTACATATAAATAGAAAGAGAAAAAAATACAACTTCAAAATAGCAATTTACCCACCAGGTGAACCAACTAAAGTTGATCCCCTACTCTCGAGGTAGCATACTTATCGTGACTTACTGGTGTGGGTGATGGTCATATTGTCAACGCTAACGCTAGCTATGCCTCACTCCGTACCCATCTACCTTTCGTCGCTTTACCAATCGCTCCACCGGCGTGTTTCTTGGGAAAAAAAAGAAGAGAAATCCACTAAATTCCTGATATTCGCAAGGCTTAGGGTTAAGCTACAAACGCAGCGATTTGCCGTTCAGGCCGTGAAGGAGGCATGGATCGTGTTGCGCTTGCGTCAATGGCGGTACTTGAGCCCGTCTCGTCGCCGAGAGACCGACCAAAACCAGTAAAACAACAACCAACGCATAATCTATTGCTAGCCATCAGGCTCGAATCTCAACGACAAAAAATAGGCAAAAAACGAGAGCACAAACAAGCCACCGAGCAGCTTATCCTCGGCATTTGAACTCGGCGACAGAAAAAATGCCGTGACAACACACACATGGTACAAACAGAGGCGCGAGGGGCCCTACGGTCCGGGTGGCTTACTTCATCACAGCACAAGAGATCAGTTACCTGGGGACTGATCTTGATATGCAGATCGACAAGCTACTACTGTAGCAAGGGGTGGGTGGACGTACTGTGAGCCTCCACAGTGCTCCCGGCGAAATGTAGTGCTACAAAACTGTCTTGCTGCCCACCGACTCCACCAGCGCATGCGACGCGCGCGCACGCAAGCGCGCACGACGCAAAAAAAAACGCTCACCTTGTTCTGCTTGTCCGTGGTGTGCTCGAACAAGAAGTTGGTCTTGATGGCCTGCAGGATGCACGCCCGTTCCTCCGCCGACTTGGGCACGACGTGGTCCTCCATGGCGTACGACTCCTCCTTGGTGCCTTCCAGGCGGAAGGGTTTCCGCCAGCCGACGGGCTCGTTCGACATGATCAGCTGGCGCTTGCGGTGCCAAGACGTCTCCTTACGCACGGGCCTCAACCCCTGCAGGGCGATGTTGTCCAGGTCGGCCTCCTTCGCCTTCGGCGACCCCGCCTTTTCCGCTTCCATCCCCTCTGACACACACAAATACAAAAAAAGTGCGTGCATGGGTGCGTGGGGTAGCTGAAGTGACTTTCCCGTGGGAGGAATAATGTGATGACACACGCTCAACTCATTTGTTGCTTGCCTTCACCAGTGACCATTCGCACGTCATCCTTGGCAAGGGGCACCGTCAGCTCCTTATCTCCTCTTTACCTCCATGAGAGTCACGTTATAAGCCCTAACTGACCTTTCCGCGTTTTCCATGCTACAAAGGAGTACAAGTACTAGGGTATGAGGGAGGGGAGTCGAAACTAGTTGCATACATCGGCGTCAAGCACAAACACAACGCTGTGTGTACACTGTTATCCGATTTTTCATCCGACCTGAGGCGTTCAGATCAGAAGCAACTCTTCACGACATCGGTGAATGCGGAGGTCACACCAAACCACGTTGTCACCGCTGTTTCGGAGGGTGAACGGCTCCCTCTCTCGACCAACACCGCATAACCGTACTGTATTTGTCATGAAGAGGTGACAAGACCTGCACGCGTAGGAGCCTCCACGATGGTTGCTGCAACTACGTACCGTAGATACAACAGGTGCACTTCCGTGACGCCAACGTACATTATTTTTTTCTCCCACCGTTGGACTCACCCCCCCCGGTGTTTGCCGTCGGGGTTAGGTTTTCGTCGCTTGGCAACGACGTTGTAAAACAAGCCGCCCCCCCCG